GTTTCCTTGTTTGAGTTTTTCACTGATGTAGGGGGAATTTCTCAGTGGAGAACACCTAGTGATCCCCCTTTGTGCTCGCTTGCCTTCTTCTTGCAGACCCCCTTCTTAAGCTTCATTCCTTTCCCATCTCTCCTTCCTCCCTGTTTAACTGTTTATTCTACTTTACCCCTATCATTCCCTTTTATAATTATGGCCCGCCCCTTGCTTCATGGTCCTTTATTATTATTTATTCTCTTGATTATTATTTATTTCCTTTCTTCCTAGTATTAGTGTTATTCCCTTTATTTATTATAGTCCTCCCTCTTTATCCCACTTTGCTCCCCTTAATTCCACGTCACTCCATCCCCTTTATCCCACACCACCCCTCCCTTTAATTCTCCTTCACCTCCTCCCCCATATTCCACAGCACCTTTACTCCAGATTACCTTCTTCCCTTAATCCTGTCACTCTCTCTCCTTCACCCACCTCATCTCTTCCTGTCTATCCCACGCTACCCCCTCCCCTTTAGCTCACCTCACATGTCCCTCTTTACCCTTTGTCCCACATCACCCCCTCCTTTGCCTCATCTCTCCCCTATTCTTTACCTTATGTCTCCTTTCCCCTTCATTCCCCCCACTTCCTTCCTTTTATTCCACATCGCTTCATCCCTTCACTCCACATCACCCCCCTCTCATCCCCACCCTTTATTCCCTCATCCCTCACCCCCACTTAACCTCTCCCCCTCAGCTCTCGAGAGATGTCCCACCCACATCCAAAATTTTCAAAAAAGGAAAAAAAAGAACAAACACACACAGTAAGCCATGAATATGCTGCTGCCACAACACAGATGTTTATTAATGATTAAATGCCAGAGAAGTTTTCACAATCACAAATCTTCGAGCTCTGCGGTTGTTACCCATCGTATGATCGATTTCTATCCCTCAATACAATACATTCTTCATTCTATGGATTGTAGCAGTTGTTACCCCTCAAAATCAGCTGTAATTTTATATGTCATACATAACCCATACCTGTGTGTTACCAGTGCATGTCCCTGCATAGAGGAACTACAGAGACAATAGATTATGTCATTTGTAATCAGGTGACTTAAACTACTTGGAACTATGTGTCTGTACCTAATTATCTGTTTTGCTGACAACAACCTGTGTCAGCTGTCTTTAAAACTGATCCAGGTAATAAAATCTAATTTGTCCTCTAACTTTTTGACCCCAGAAAACTAGTTAGAATTGTACTTGAGGTTTCCCTGTTGGCGTGACCTGAGCAAAACTGCACAGAAATTTGGGAGTGGCTGTTTGATGAGCCACCAGTCTAAATAATTGAGGTGGGTGGGAAATCCTGAGGCGATGGAGTGACTGCGGGGACACGGCTATGAGTTGGTGTGACATGGTTTAGCATTAATTGTTTGTCAGCTGTCAGTAGGCTGACCTAACGTTCCAGCATGCCTCTTGAGGGCCTTTCCAATTGAGCTCTCGGGAGGAGGGTAGGAAAGTCAGGAAAAACATGCAATCCCCTTTGAGGGAGGGAAAGCACCTCGAGATTTGTGAGCTTCTCTGGGACAGGTGTTTACCACAAATGTCACATCAATTAAAGGAAGGGCTGTAGTGAAAGAAAGCCAGGATCAGGGGTAAAAGAGAAAGGCAAGGTAGCACCAGGGAGCCTGGGCATGGCACAGAAACATCTCTGCTTTGACCAGCTGAAGAGAACAAGCTTCCCCAGCGGATGGGGCTGGCAGTGTGTTTTGGAATTCCCATCCTGACCCGAGCATCAGGGGGAACTCCTTCTCATCCTCAGATCTTTGTCTTCCAGATTCTCCTTAATGTTTCCTGTGACATCTCAGGTCTACCCCCACCCTTTTCCCCTGGCTGGCACCTTATAGAAGGAAATACATCTAAGGAAACAAGTAGCCGATGCCAGTTTGGGCCTCCTTCTCCCGGGGCACACGGAGCAATGGGCGGTCTTGCTCCGGAATGGGGGGGTTACCCGCTCCTTCCTCATCGTCATGGGAACGGGCAGTGCCGGGAGGCACAGCTGGCTCCTCAGAGGAACCTGGAAAATAGTAACAATGTTAACTCCTTAACTTTCTAGACTTCATACTTTGCACAGCACCCAAGGCACTAAGAACTAATTCTAAGTTTCAAAAACAGTATGAGGCAAGAAGATAAGGCAGGAACGATTATCCCCACCTGAGCTACAAGAAAACTGCAGCCTAACAGAACACAGATTCTCAGTCTAGGACCACTGTGGGAACTGGGAGATGAGCTGGATTAGGGAAGAGAAACCTTCTGCTTAAAGCAAATGGACAACATCACCGGGGAGACGGGGAAGAGGGCGTCCTCCCAACAACCACCACCACCCTACAAGTAGCCTGACTAATTTGACTAAGCAAATGAGTAACAAAGCTGGAGCTGGAAGCTTACAACACTGAATGGGAAGGAAAAAGCAGGTGTCACTCTTAACTGACTCTGGGGAGGACTGGTAGTCCATCATGTGGCCAGGCTGAGACTTGTTTTCAAGGAGAGCGATGCCTACAGGAAATACCACTTTTGCATCTTCTTTATGGAAGTGAATTGTCTTATGACTTTGAACTTCTTTAGGGTCCAGATCTTTAGGCACTGGGATTTCTTCTATGTTCATGACTTCTTCAAGATCAACAGCCAGGTGTTGTGGAGGGTCTGGGATTGTAGTGAGAATGGAGACATCTTCAGTCTCTGGAACCACTATGTTAGCCTCATCTGCCTCAAATGCATTGGCTCCATCTTTGTGCGAATCTGGAATTTCATTGTGAATTTGGGGAGTCTCACTCTCCGGGACCGCATTGGGCACTGAGTCTCCTTCAGGACTGGGAGATTCTTCAGAGTCTTGGTTTCCACCAACATCAGAGGCTTCTTCCTGTCCCGGAGTTTCTTCATCAGCGGAGTCTTCTTCATTGCTTGGGACTCCACTCACATCTGAGGATCCTTGCTGGTCTTGAATTTCTCCAAAATCAGAGACACCTTCAGGGCTGGTAACCACGTGAAGAGCCAGGACCTCTCCAGGGTTTGCGTCTTCTTCAGGGACTGCGATTCCATTGACCTCTGGAGCTTCTTCATGATTTGGGATTTCTTCGGCATCTGTGGCTTCTTCATCACTGGGGAACCCATCAAGAGCTGGGATCTCGTCGGGACTGGGATCTCCTTCAGAGTATGAGAGCCCATTAACCTCTGGGGATTCAAGATTGGGAATTTCAGGTCCATCAGGGGCTTGTTCAGGGCTTGGGACCACATGAAGAGCTGGTACTTCTTCAAAATCAAGATCTTCTTCGGAGTCTGAAATCCCATTGACCTCTGGGGATTCTTCAGGATCTGGGATTTCATCAGCATTTGAACTTTCATCATTTGGGACTTCATCAACAGCCGGGACCTCGCCAAGACTGGGGTCTTCTTCAGAATCCTGAGTCTCATCGTTATCTAAGGCATCTGCATGATCTGAGATTTCATCAGTGTCTAAGCCCTCTTCATTACCTGGAATTTCATCAGTATCTGAGGCTTCTTCATTGTTCGGAATCACATCAAGGTATGGAACCTCTGCAACGTTAAGATTCTGGGGGTCTTCAAAATCTGGCCCTTCTTCAAGATCAGGGTTGGGATTTTCTCCAGTGTTCGGAATATCTTGCACATCTGGGGCTCCTTCAGGGTCTGGAACCATATCAAAATACGGCATTTCTTCAAAATCTGGGATCTCAATGAGTTCTGGAATTTCATCATCAGGTTCTAGAATATCTTCAAGGGGAGGGAGATCATCAAAATTCAAAGTATCATCATCATCATCATCATCATCTTCATCAAGTTCTGGTATGCCTTCAAGATGTGGGCCTTGAATGTCAAGGTCACTTGGGATTTCAAGACTTTGAACTTCCCCAAAGACTACTCCTTGATCCAAATATTCAAATACTATCTCTTCATTGACTGATACATCTTCCTCAGAGAACTCATCTTCCTCAAGGGGCTCATCTTCAGCAAGGACATGGCCCTCAGGGAGGGCCTGACCTTCAGCTAGGGCCTGACCTCCAGTAGGGAACTGACCTTGAGCAAGGACAGCAGCGCGCACTTCAGCAGAGGTTTCCACAGGGTCAGAAAGCAAAGCATCCTCTTCCATCTTTATGCGTGCACTCCTGAATAGGAAGGAATTTGGAAAAGTGAGTGAGTTGGTGTACTTAAGTTGATTAAATACGGTCTGAGATTGGAAGCCTTCATAGGAGAATGTGCTTCAGGCACGGCATAAACAACCTCCCCCCACCCCCACCCCAAAGAAAAAGCCACTTACTGGATCTTCCTCAAGTTCCTGCGTCTGATAAAATCCAGGGCTTCAGGGCTGGACTTCCACACACGCTTGGCCACCTGCCTCTGAATATGGGGAGGCACCTGAGTAAAAATAGCAACATTAGCCTGTATCACACAGCTCTTTCTCATTTATACTCATCTCTTTCAAGTACCCAGGACTGAAGGCACCAGAACCAAGTAACACACAGGAGGAGTGTCTCAGCTGGGAGATTTTGTAGCTGCTTGCTCTGGCTGCCCATGTATACTCTCCTCTGCTTGTGAACAGGAGAGGCATGTGTAAAACATGTGTATGCAAAACTTCTACCTACCTGGAAAAGGATATCCCAGTTGTCAATCATGGCACGGACCACATTGACAGAAGCAACATAGTGGTCCATCCCCAGCTTTGTCTTCCTGGACTCCCTCTTGCCAAACTTTCCCTTCTTCAGGAGAGCAGATCCGAACACCAATGCCAAATTGGTGGAGGTCATCCGGTTGCCTGGGACCTAGGTAAATGAAAGCAGAAATGATTGGGCCTCAGGTAGGACTGGTAATTGTACAAATAGATGCGTTGTCTTTATTCGTGTTTCTGCTTCCTTCTCCTTCCCAGCCTCTCCCACTCATATGCTGCCACACAGGTTCCCTACTAGGGCTCTTGCTATCCTTTCCCAGATCTCTTTACCAACTGTCCATCAATGCCAATGGAGTCCTCGCAGTTCTCAGTGATTTTGTGCAGGGCCTTCAGCAGACGCTCCAAGGTGTCACTGTGGCAGGGTGGCATCAGGTAGACCAGCAACTGCAGGGCAGAAAGCTGATCCTGGGGCTTTAGAGCTAAAGGAAGGCAAACAGAGGCTAGCTCAGGGGGCTAGCCTTGGCAACAGCCTGATACAAAGAAAGATGAGATTCTGCTTGAAAACTGATGGCAACTATGGAGAAAGTTCCCAGGTAACTTGCCTTTGCTCATTTCTAAAGCATTTAAGCTCTTGGAGCCCTGAAAGCAAGGAGCACTTCCGTCAAAACCAGACCTCCACTAGGGAACCTGGGTTATTCTTGGCCCTGAGAGGGCACACACAACTTTAAGAAGCTCTAGAGAAATTTTGAGGCAACAGACTTATAGTGGACCATTAACAGATACAAGGGAAGTAAACTGGAGAGGCTTTTGCTTAAATTTTTTGTGTTTTCAATTGTCAAATAATGATTGTATATATTCCGGAGAGGTGGTTCTCTTCTGATGTTCATTCTTCCCTAATCCCTTGGGGTCCCTAGACCGCCTGGCCCGCTGTAATGTTTTCTTTCCTTGCCCAACAAAGGGAGAACAGAAGACTCACTGGCAGTCAGGAGGAAGGACATGTATAGATCATCTGGCAGCAGAGAGTCCTTCATGTCACGGAAGAACTCCTTGAGGAGTGCGGCCACGTCGTGCACATTCTGAGTGTCATCTAGCACTACATCCAGACCCTGGTCAAATTCTTCACGGAGCTGGAAAAGGCAAGAGAAGACAGGAGTTGTCTGTCCTGCCCACCACAGGCTCCACTTTGGTTATTCCTTCAATAAATCAGAGGCTTCTGTGAAGGTAGATGGCGATAAGGTGCGCTGGGCGCTGGGGCGGGGGAGAGGCTAGAATGAAGACTCTGCTCCTCCTACCAGGAATGAGACTGCTCTCCAGTTGTATGGGGAGCACCCCCTTCACCTGCTTTTTCTCACCCCAGAAACATGTACGCACAGCCAGATTACCTGACGCACTCTCTGCGCAGAGTATTCCAGGGTGAAAATTCCCACTGTGCTTAATCCTGAAAGAAAAGACCAGGTGATGCTAAGCATCTTGGAACTTCTTTCCTATGGCATTTCGCATCTCTTCAGGTGCATTCCAGACTCTGCTGGTGTGTGTTGGGGAGGGGGGACCCAAACCTTCATCCCAGGACCCTGTGTCTCTCTCCATCTCTAGACCACTCCTCCTTTCCTTTGTATTGCCTCCTTCCTTAAGTTATTTCCAGCTCCCTTACCATGCTTCTCAATGAATTTGCAGCAAGCCTCAACAACCTGGGGGATTTGTTTGGCAATCGGATTGAGGCTCATCTTCCTCTTGGATCCCAGAAGTCGCCGTCCGATTGGAAATGACACCCTGGAAAGTTGCAGGGTCTGCAGCAGCAGAGCCCCGCCCTCCAGCTCAGCCAGGCTATCCACAGACACGGCGCCCTGTGGAGAAGCCCAGAGGACGTTAAAATGGGGGTTGAAGGAGGGGATACTCAGACCCTCCGAGCCCCGCAAGACATTCAGAACACGTTTGCCCAGTCTCCCCGCCTCCCTGTAAGTACTCAGGCCTTGACCTGCCAGCCCCCACAAACTCGTACAACCTTTCAGGAGGTTCCCCTGCCTGAAACCTGGGGGAGGGTTCACTCACTCGACGCCCGCGGCGGGTGAACGCCCGGGGCAAAGTGGGCTCATTCCGCCTCCGACTGAAAAAGCGCCTGATGCGACCAAACATCCTTTGCACCACGTTTCCCCGACGACGGCCCGCACCCTGACCGGTGGCTTCCTCAACCTGCATCGCGGCTGTCAGTTCCAAATGCTTGCGCCGGGTAAGCTCATTCACCAGCACCTCTTCCAGGTGAATGCCAAAAGTCTTCAGGGAGACTGTTGGGGAGGGAGGGAAAGAATCGGGAACGTTAAAGCCCTGAAATGCTAAAATCAAGGAGGAACCGAAGGGGCTGGAACACTCTTCCAAGCAACCACAGGCAGCCAACCTCACCCCAGGAGACCCGCGGCGCCCCTCCCTGAGGAGCAAGTCAAAAAGACCCTGCAGGGCTCAAGGCAAAAGATCTCAGCCCCCAGTCAGCTACCCGGGCGGGGCACCAGGTTCCTGCCGGAAGTCCTACCGGGATGACCACCTGGAAGCAGTGAGTGAGTTCCTCAGTTTGATCTGACTGGGGTGGGTCCACCGGGAAGGTTTAGGCAGACCTGAGAGGACCGCCCCATGTGCCCGCAGCTATTGTGCCATTTCCGGATACCACCTCCAGGGGATTTCTGGGAGGGCGGGGGAGGGTCTCTGGGGTCCGTGGGCGTCGCCCAGTCTCCAGAAGCCAGGGCCGCGCTACAGGGGTGGGGGGGATGGGGGTGGGGGTGGGGTGCCCCATTCAATTTCTTTTCTACAGAAAATGCGAGGGACCCTCACCCCTCTGTTGTCCTCTTAAAAGCAGAAACCACTTCTCCAAGGTGTTTGGACGGTCAATGGGTAGAGCTACAGGAAGAGAAAAAGAAAAGAGACGCGCACACTCACACACAAATAGGATTTCACAAGTGACTAAAACATCGCCATGCATCGATATGCGGCAGGGGGAGGGGGCGCTGGGGAAGGGAGGCTCAGTCCAACACGCGAGAAGTGGTTTGCCTGCTCTCGGCCTCAGTTTCCCCGCCTGACACCAGGACCAATCTCATCTAACACATAGGAGATTCTCAAGAATTTAACCAAAGCACAAGATTGGAGGCGCCGCGCGCGCACGTTGCATCTTGCTACGCACCAGTGATCGCTCCACACAACACTTCCAACAGAAATTCAGGGGCTGAGGCGCCCGGATCATGCAACAGGCTAAAGGAGGGGCTGCCCGCAGCGCCACCGCGGGTAGGGGTAGCCAAGTTACTGCCGGCGCGCAATCACCCGGGTTGCCGACGGCTCAGCGAGCTGCGGCGCGAGAATCAGCGACACCAGACTGTCCCCGCGCTCCGAAACCGGCCGCCGCGGCTGCCCGCCGGGTCTCTTCGCCCTTCGCTTCACTCTGTTCCGGCTGCGCCTGTGGCGCGCGCCTAGCAAATCTGCCGCCCCCTGCCCTTTTCAATCCTTCCGGGGCGCCCCTCAGTCCACGCGTCTCCCTAGCTTCCCCCGCTTGGCTCAGCGCTCAGCTCAGCGCCCCGTGCCCCGGAGATCCCCCGGCGGTGCGCTCGAACCCGGTCCAGTGCTGCATCCCGCCGGCTCCCCAGCGGCCGCCTGGGGAGGGTAGCGCGCACACAGAACCTCCCGCCGCCACCCCCGACACTGCACCGCCCTCCTGATCTTCTCCAGGTTTCGCGCGTGTCTCTCTCCCTGTCTCGCTGTCTCTCTCAACCCCTCTGTCTGTTCTGTCCCGGTCCTCTCTAAAAGTGTCCCTCTGTGCCTCTGTCCCGATCTGCGGGATTCTCACCCCGTACCTTGTATGTCTGTCTCTTCTCCTGTCCTCTGTGCACCTGTCTGTCCCGGACATTTGCCTGTCTGTCTTACTGTACCTTACCCCCCACCCCCACCCCGGTCTCTGACCCAACTCAACTCATCTTTACCTTTTCCGAAATTCAACAAACAAGCCTTCAACTCCCGCTGCCTCAGCTCCCCAAGCATTAGGAGAACCGACCAGGTCCGACACTGGGCTCGTGTCCCTCCCTTCCTCCAGGACCCCTAATCCGTCCCGGCGAGCCCGAGGGGCATCCACTCGCCCGGAGGCGAGGATGCCACACTCCGGGGTACAACTCACCTCTGTCCGGTTTGAATTCAGAGAGGAAATGTCTGGCCACGAGTTCGTGGTAAGCAGTCTCTTGCAGCTTCAGACGCTCCAGCTCGGAGAGGCTGTGTATTGATACCATCTTCGTCCTGCGGTCAGGGTTGTGTCCTGGGGCTCCTCCCAGGACGCTCACTAAAAAAATGAAGGCAGACAACAACAGCAAAGGGGGCATGATTCTGGAGCACAGTGTCCTTGCTGTCTTCCGAAAAGGGATGCAGCCACCCATTCTGGAATCGGATGATTATCAGGGCTGCATCATCCAATTGTCACTGGACCTGGTGGAGAGAACTATAAGGGGGGTAGGGGAGGAGGGAAAACTGGGAGGCGGCTTCACCCTCAAGCAGAGCTGCCTCTGGTTGCTTATTAAAAAAAAAAAATCCAACTTACAAAAAAAAAAAAAAAAAAACCAGCCCTGAACACACACTCCAGAAAAGAGAAAACCTAATTGGCAAAAGGAAGGAAGGGAAAGATTTTTTTTTAACTCAATTTTTTAAAAAGCACTTTGAGATAAAATAAGATAGTATTTTCCATCAACTAATTAGAACATTGAAAGAGTTTATTTTGTGTCTTGATGATGATACTTGATGCTGTCCAGGTTGGGTAAACAGGGGATTTTCTTCTGGGTTAGGAGCACTGTAAATTTATACAACCCTTCCAGAAAACATAGTGGACACACAAGTCTACAGCCAAAAATCATCCCCAGTCCCTTTGACCCAAAAATCCAAAATTTTCATTTCTAGGAATATATCCTAATGAACTTTTCCAACAGAGAAGAAAAAAAAAACTATATGCAGATGAGCTGGAACAGGAATAAAAAATTAAAAATTAAAAAAATAAAGAGAAAAAAGCTAGCCCAGCAATAAGATTGGTTATATAAATTATGTAATGACCTCAGTATGAAAAAGCATGCAATCATTAAAGTGATGTTTACAAAGAGATTTTTTAACAACAAATATAAAGTGCAGAATTGTGTTAATTATAACTGTGTGAAGAAAAGCATGCATAAAAATAAAAGGCTAAAGGAAATGCACACAAATTGTAACAGGCTGTGTTAAACAGTGGGATTTTGTGTACCTTTGCCTTTTCTTATCTACAACAAATTGTACAACTTGGTTATATTACTTTCCATGAAAAGAAAAATGTGTACCAAAACAAACATCACTGCCAGACCATTTCTAGGGAGCCTCTCTACACAAAACTGGCGAGCAGAGTGAAGTTGGTCTTCACGTGATGTGCATTCCAGGTGGAGCCCACCACCTCATACTGCTCCTGGGCTGCACGGGATCCCCCAGCAGGGGTTTTCCCACACTGCACACCTCATCCTTTCCTGTCTATCCTCTATTACTCATTCGTTCTTTCATTCATTCATTAACAACAACAACAACAACAAAGACAAGAAAACTATTAATTGCCCACTTAGTGCCTGGTGCAAAAGATTCAAAGAATGAGCAAGACAGTATTACTCCTTTCATGAAAGATTTAACAGTGCAGTGAAGGAGATACACAGGTTAGCAACAATGTACAAAACCTTGTGATAAGTCAGTTGGCCAATATATAAACAAAGTACTCTGAGAGCAGAAAAGGAGAAAACATCTTAGTCTGCCTGGAGACAGGCAGGGTGGGGGAGCGTCCAGAGAACAGCTTGTGCAGAGGCAAAGAGATGGGAGAGAGGCTGCCATCTTCTAGAAGCTTTCTTAAGGGATTGGAAGGAGCTAAATCTGGATGGGCAGGGATGAGTTCATGAATGGCCCTGTAAGCCATGCTAAGGAGGTGCACTGCCTCCTGAAGGCACCAGGGAACCACCACGGGATTTTAGGCAGAGGGTGATGGAGTAAAGGATTACACCTTGGAAAAATCACAGAGAGCCAGGAGAAGCTTGCTTAGAGTAGAGAGCTCAATGTAGGAAGAACAGCCAAGAGGCAAGGGAGGCTAACCCATGCCAGTGTCACTGGCGCTGGAGCAGAGGATGGATTGTATGGGAGGAATTGACAGGACTTGGGGCCAATTTTTACTTGTAATGGAGAGGGAAGAATTTAGGGTAGCTCCCAAGTTTGGGATTTGGGTGAATATGTATATGCTGCTTCCCAGTAGAGACAAGAATGTGGCACGTGGGGTACTAAATCTTTTGACTAAAAGGGAAGTATTCGTGTGCTATTTTTCCTGATGTTCCCTTCCAAGAATATTCTATATATTATTTAGACAAGAGGGGGAGCTTAAATTTCAAAGATCAGGTAATGTGGCTTTGAAAGAGAAAAGGTAGGTAAAGGCTTACCATGCAGTAATTCACACAAATGAGCTATCTTCTGTCCAAAAAGCAAACCTCACTTTGAATGTTGTCTCCAAAATTCTCTTTCACCTACTTTCCTTAAAGATGTTGGAAATGCTGGCCAGATATGAGGTGCAGTATAAAAAAGAATGTGGGGCCTTTCCTCTTAGCTTTTGAACTAAGCTAAGAGGAAAGCCCTCCACATGGATTTTAAAGCCCTTTCAACTGCAAAGTACCATCCCTTAGACTCAAAGTGAGCACCCAAACCCAACCACCAAACTGCAACCAGAAAGTAACCATTTTCACCAAAGCTACATGCATCTGCACAGTTCCAGAATAAGCCTCTAGCAATCCCCCACTGGAGATGGCAGGTCCAGAGCCTCTCAGTCCAGGGTCTCATCCTGGCACACAGAGCCTAGCTCTGATTTAAATTTTCTAACATCCCTCCCCCTCTCCCCTTGCCCAAATCCAGACATTTTTGTACCTGTCTTGGAGTTCCAGCTATTTCTTCTTATTGAGGCTTACCAGTTCTGATAATCCAAAGAGCAGGGCTGGTTCTCTTACCCAAAAGCAGGAGGAAAAGAAATCCCTCCCTTCCCCAAAAAACAAGGTAAGAACAAGCAGTAAATCCTCAAATCAATGCCATCCCCAGAAGGAGAGAGAGAGAGAGAGAGAGTGAGAGAGAGAGGGAGAGAGAGAGAGGGAGAGAGGGAGGGATGGAAGGAGAGAGGGAGAGAGGGGGAGAGGGAGAGAGAGAGAGAGAGAGAAGCCTTTGAGAGATGAGTCAGCCTCGATGCTTACAATTCTGAAGGAAATCAAAGGCCTTAGAATAAACCGTTTGTCATTGCCTCCCTGCTTGAACATACAGGGCTAAACTTAAGAGCAGTCATAAGCTGCAGTTCTGCAAAACTGACACGTTCTTGCTGGACCTCAATCCTTGCAAGGCACCAGTGGGATATAAGACAGAAGCAGAGTTAGAAGGAACAGTGTGCCCAGACCAGAGGCACATGGGCAGGATGGGGAGGGGAGAAGCAGACACCTCAGACGCTGTGAAACAGGTGCAGAACAGGTTCTTGAGATTTGAATACCCTCAGTTCTCAGGTCTGACTTTCCAAGTGGAGCCCCAAAGGAGGCTTCCTACAGAGAAGTGTCAAGAGACCTCTCCTGCTCCAGATGGTCTCCCCCTTCCTCCTTCATCAGGCCACAGCACTAGCTTGAAGTGACCATGAGACCAAATAGGGACTCAAGAGGATGGTGAGAGCAAACTGGCTTGTGGGTTCAGTTGATAATTCAAGACATCTGTAAAAGCAGTATCTTTAGGCAAAGATCTGGTCTGGGCACTGGAGTTGGAGCCAAACAGAACTGAGTTCAAATCCAAGCTTTCTGATCTCTTAGCTGTGTGACCTGAGGATAGTCAGTTGGATTCTCTCAGCCTCAGTGGTCTCCTCTATAAAATGGGGAGTGGGGGTGGGGGGAGGTGACACAATACACATTGCAGTGGTTGTGCGAGAGTTAAATGAATAATGTATGTATGGTATTTAGCATTGGTTTTTAATAAACAGGTTGATGCTAGAGGTGATTTGCAAAGGGCCTGAATTTGCTGGCAAACATCAGGCTTCAAAAGTAATTACATAAAATTAGGATGTGTTATCAATGCATTGAGCAACCTACTCTGTTCAATCTCTACTAAATTTGAATTTGTTTAACACAGGCAAAGAGATCTTGGGAGACTATTGAGAACAGGTCTTTCTGCTTCACTCTCCAAGCTCACCAGGGTCAAATATTCAAATATCACCTTATAAGATTTAGGAGAATTAACTGCATAGGTCAATTGAAATCAATGCTATTATTCAGGTTAGTAAAATGGCTGTATGTCCCAAAATTAATTTCTCTTTCAAACCATCCAATTTTATATTGTCACTAGCAAAAGAACATATAATTTCATGTGGATCAGTAAATGGGGCTAGGATATTAGCAGACACCAAGAGCGATAATTTGAACAAAGAGCAGAGGGACACCCAAATCAAGACCCCAGCAGTACAAAAGGGGAAATACACTTGGGTGGCATCAAGCCTGTTCCTCATGTCCTCCCAAAATGCATGGCACAGATGGAGAAACAAATTAATGTTGGAAAGGTCACCTGCTTTGACTTTGGGAGGATGGAAATGCTTTCAACTAGGCACAAATCCACAGCCTTCACCATTTGGAGAACTAATTTACTCAATTGCCCCACATCAAATAGTTGGGAATGGTGCAGTGCTCACTAGTAAACACCCACAAGAAAAAAAATATCCCCAGCTGCACTGATGCTGTGCTTTGAATCCTTATAAATTAGACACTTCATGGCGTCATCAGATTTTTGCTCCAAGCCTCTGGGAGCTCCTCAGAGTTTGAGAAATTGATAGTGAATGGGGCCGGGTGCCCAGAAAGTATTGCATCTGCATTATTCAAATGTCTACAGGCAGTGGCAATGGATAAAGACATCCCCATTAATACATCGCAACATGGAAAAGAGATACGGGTCTCTAGATGAAAACATTTGGGCACCAATTTGGTCTGCGGACACGTTATCTCATTCATCCCTGAGCATTAATGAGTTAGCCTTTAAGTTGTTATCCCATAACCTCCATTTCAGTAAAGGCTGCAGATGCCGTGAACAAAATGACTCATTTTATCCTATGCGGTGGCGATGCCCCAAGATAATTAAATGTGGGGACAGTGTTCGGTAATACATAGAGTTATCCCATCATGTCATAGCAGACACTCATAAACTAGAGGTAGGATTGTTAAAATATATTGAAAGCAGCCCCAGCTTCAGAAAAAGAAATACTTCAGGAACTACTTAACTATGGTTATCCTAATATTC